ACACCAAATGCGAGGAGAATCCTACCAGGCTCCTCCCTGCGAAAGAACGTCCTCCATAGACTCGTCCTGAAACCAGGATTTTGCCTCTGGAGGCGCTTCAAAATGGTGTCCGTGTCATCCGGGAGCCCGTACAACACAGCCATCACCTTGGTTACCCTCGGGACGTGCCTCTGAACTTTCAGCGACGCGCCATCCCAGGGCCGGATAAGAGGGACGGTCCTCTCCAACCAGTCCAAGGTCCACTGGTCCTCGCATTCGGCCACGATGGCACCCTGCGGATTCCAGCGGAACCCTGCCAGCCGAGGAAAGGGCCCTCCCTCCATCTGGTCTACGACTGCATTCAATGCAGCCATAATGCACCTCGACTGAGCCTCAGAGATGTCCACCTCCGGGTATGAAACCGGAACGACGGCCACCTTAAGCCCTGCCGCAGCGACTTGCCCATAAGTTCGTGGTGCACCCTTGGGTGCATCAGAACCTCTAGGCTTCTTCTCAGGCTGCCTTGAGCCAGACCCTGGAGTGCTTCCCTCTGATCTGAGACGCTTAGTCCCTGACGTCGGGTTGCCCCCCTGAGCCAACGACCCAGACGCAGCCTTAGGCTTTGGCGCAGAGCCCGCTTGACCCGAGGTTTTACCCTCGAGCCGGCGCTTCCTGGCCATCGCCTTTTGTGCGCCAGTCCTATTCTTCTTGCGAATAGGAGCTGACCCACCACCAGGTCCTTGGGTAAGGCCCTGCGTTGGAGCCGTCCCCTCTATCGAGGAGCCTGCCCCGTTACCGGACCCCTTTTGAGGGCCCGGCTTGTTGGTCCCCTCTGACGAGGAGCCCAGAAAGGTTTTGTTAGAAGATTCCATACAATTCCCACGAGTAGTGCGGAAATGCGGTCTCACCTGGGCAGAGCCGCTTGCCCAGGGCTTGGCTGCCAGCCCCTTCCCAAAGGAAAGGAGCCACCACTCGGAGGTCGCCCGGTATCCGAGGGGCACCGTTATCGACACTGCACCCCAGTGCCACGCAGTCCTCGGCACGGTCGCTAACACCTTGACTTGGGAGGTTGGTCCGCGGCGACGACCTTCGTCGCTACCAGTCTGGGTTTTAGCCCCGACGAGCCACTTATAATCGTCACTACCCACACCGAAGCACGAGTCACGTACTATCATTCAGGTGTCTGTATGGGCTTTCCCCTATCCGCCACCCGGGGACGCGCCCGATGGGTGCCTAACCACACGGGCCGTACGGTCCTTAATGAACCTTTAGAAGTGTACGTTAGATTGTTCTGATAGTGATATTAAATTTGTAATAGGTACTTTGTAATCTGGCAAAACTTTTCAATCGCCAATTATATTTTCCTTGCCCATAAATCAACCACACTATTTTTGTTGCAATTTTGGTACCTACTTGGTGAATGTTCTTACATACAAAACGAAATTAATCTTATTCGTTTTTATTTCTTTGACCTTGTTTGAAAAGGTTTAAAAAAAACAAATAACACGTCCTCATAGGCACTGCAAGATACTACCCACAGATTTACACTGCGACGTTTATCCTTTGAGAAACCATCATCAACTTGAGCCCTACTTAAATCTAAAGGGAAGAACGCATATGGTAACCTGGCTAACCTCCACTAGAAGCACACCCAAATCCTGTTCAAACTATTACTTCGGATTTCCCAAGTTAGGAATTTAATCGCCAAAGATCAATATATTCGGAAGATGGCAATTCGAATTCCATGCGTTCTACCTTACGCTTTCAACAGTTTTTTTAAATCGGCGTGTACTGAAGGAAAATGCGCTGTTGTTCTACGCCGAAAATTGCGTGGTTAAATTTCATCAATAGGTGGAGCCATCTATCAAATCGCTCCAAACGTTAGGGGGGTCGTTCGACAAGTAGTAAACCGTAAACAATAATAATGCTTCGTAATAGAGATGCGTATGTAGATAGTATCCTGTCCATATAAACATATGAAGTTAATGCTGGTTTCTCAAAGACGAAACGTCGGGGTGAAAATTTGGTGGGCATCATCTTGTAGAGCACTCGTCGCTAGATTCCAAGATAATAGTTTTCACATGTCGATACCACACGCACATAATAATATGCAAACAATTGGATACTGAACCAATGCGAGATAAATCAAAAGTAAAGTAAGGCCTGATTGGAAAATTGAATACTTTCATAATGTGTATCACACGATCCCATGCGCAATTAAAACAACCACCGTTTCTTCCGAGTAATTTTGCGTTTGGGAACTACACCCCCAAGGATTCTAATTTACATTCTTTCGTTAGTCTTCATCTCAAACAAGCCATGAAAGATTAGAAACAACTTCCCTGGGTTTTCGGATATGCCCTTTCCGTTTGTACAATTCCATAAAAACAACGAACCTAAAGTTAGTTTTTGCAGTTTCCCTAATATCGAAGTGTATTCTTGGCCTGAAAAGAAAAATTGCTGCGTACACTACATGCACTTGAGTAAAATTGGCAAAAAAAACTTTGTATGCAGCTTTTTCATGAAAATTCTGTCATTCTTCCCTAATAGTGTTTGTACGTACCAAAGTCGAGTATTATAGGCGGACGTTAACTTTTGAGCGCATTTTAAAAATTAAAAAATGTGCTATTGTGTGCGTTTTGACTGTCCGTCCGTCCTGGAATTTTTTGCAATAGGTAGTAGCCTATGCCGTGAAAGTGTGCCAGACGGCCATCAAATTTCGTTAGTAATTTCTAGTAATTTAAGCATAATTACCTTTTGTATAATGTGAATTGTACACAAAACATTAATTTTTTGGGGCCTCTCCCGTAAGACTAAATAAATAATGGGGTGTAATAATTGTCCCATTGGGTCTACTCTACTATTGGGAATACGTTTTTTTTCAAGTATTAATGTCCAAAATATAGGTTGTGATAAACCAATGTAAGTAATAAGAAAAAGGAATGAAAAGGGATGTTGCATTTAAAAAATACCAACATAGGTTCAATTCCTAGAAACTGTGGCTCAACATTTTTTTCTAGGTCACTGGTTTTTAGATAAAAATATCTAAAATAGGCAGTTTTTACCTTCTTTTCTATCTTACATGAGTAGCAAGATATGACAACATCTCAAAAGTCAAACTTTCCAGCGTACCTATATCTCAGAAACAACGTATACCTAGAATGATTCTAGTTTCACAAAAAAGTGGAACAGGGTCGCAAAAACCGCAGGTCTCTATCTTTAAAAACACCTGAGATGCACTGCAGTTTCAACCAAAACAGGGCACACTATAGAGGGTGCCTCAATTATAAATTAAACCTCCTAATAAATGAGCTTTAGTAAAGTTAACAAAAGACAATAAGCTCCAGTATCACTTCAAAATTGTATGGAAGGCAAATCAAACTGACCAATGAGCACGATGAGCCCTGCGACATTTGTTGGAGGTTAGTTTCCCTTCGAGAAATCACAATATGCGGGAAACTCGCCTCAGAAGTGAGTTGTCCTTCAAAAATTCACCCGCGAGTAAATTCGTCTTCGGAAAATTTTGTGCCTTTGCGTTTATTTCAAGGGCGAGTTTCTTTATAACCTCGAGCACTAAACTAAACCAAACTTTTCCTTTCGAACAAGTTCTTCGCGAGCGCAAGCATTCTAGGGGAGGCGAATATTTCGGGAGGCAGGTTTTCCTGTAACGAGTATTCTAGGATGAATTTTCCCCTGGAGACGAATTGTCGAAGGGAAATTTACCGGGACGAATTTCCGTAGTAAACGTTCCGAGATTTTTTATCGATTTTGAAAGGAGAACTACTCCACAAGTTAACTATAGCATTTATGTCCACATATCATGCCCTTATAATACTTTGGTAACCAAAAGAATACTCATAAATAGGTATATAATTTATATTATAATTTTGCCATAAAAGATATTTGCAAAAGAATTCCTTTTATTGACGTTTTACGGATCTCATTTTTAAGGCTTCTGCGTAGGGGTCATTACATTTGAAAAATAGAAAATTGGGAAAAATTAATACAAAGTCATGAGTTCATATTGCGGATTGATTACATTTACTATTATTACTGTTATAGAAGGAAACTGATATAGTATAAGTAGGTATCTGTCCGTCCGGACACTCTCACTACATAAATGTGATAGATAGTGGTATGGATTTTATTGCTGGTCAAAACTATTCTTTAGTTCGACAAAAATGCTAAAGCAAATACTTATTGCAGTGGGGTTGGGTTCTGTATTGACGTCAACCAGTAGGTGCTGGAGAATTGTAGAAAATTGTGGAGGATAGTAAAATTGAGCTTTAACTCAATTTATGACATCAAAGTTTAACACTTTAGACGTCTGTGTGTTAGCATTGGCCCTGTATAAAAAAAGTCCTCATTGCCATTGACAACGTCAGACAAAGTACCTAGTTTTCTTATGATTTAAAAACCATTATTTTGTTATTTTCACGTCTGAAAAAAAAATAGAATATAGGTATAATGCGGAGCCAATGCGAGTTCTTATGGCTAGTCAGTATTTTGCTCAAACACTAACTTGCCATAAAAAGTATAACTTTAGCTCCTTGTAATATAATATACTATTTTGTGGCACGCTTTTGCGTTGCAAAATTTACTGATGGTGTCTAAATACATTCTTTAATTAGGGTAACATTATGGAATGAGTCCTGTGAATAAAAACCAGTAAGTTTTGGAGCTTTTCAAATAAGGTATCCCTTTAAGATTTCAAGGGTGAAAGTTACTGCGTAATGTAAACCTGCGGTTGATTAAAATATGAAAGCGACGTGCCAAATACGACGCAACTAATGTTACTTTAAATGGTTTACTATTGGCGGGGTCACCTTCCAGTCGTATTCGTTACACTGAAAAAATTAATCAATAGGTACTCACTATACACATACCACCTACACTCAAACACTTATTTAAACGTGCCTGAAAAATAAATCAGATCGATACCTACTTACATACAGGTTATCTGCTACTGACACATATTTTTGTCCTACTTTCCATTGTAATGTAAGACATTTTTAATGCAGGATATATGCAGTTGAGGGTTGCATAAAAGTAAACGTAGGTGATTTACAAAGACTGAACAATTCATAATGACACAATTTGAGGTACCTCCGCTCTCGACAATTCCGTCCGATGATCTCGACGACAGCAATACCGCATTTAAGATCATAAATCAAGACAACTTGCCCATTATTATAGGTGAATCGATTTTCAAGCCATTTGGAAAAGATGGCCAGAAATTTAAACCGAACGGTATCGTGTTTCCGACCAGGCGGATAACTGGTAACTTGGAGGACAATCGACTGAAACATCTAACAAAATCGAACGGGTACATCGATGCACAGAACGTACTAAATTTGCATAAAAACGTTAGCATATCGCACGGTAATTTGAACCACTGCAATAGTGCCGTAAAGGATCGGACGGACAAACACAAATTGCGATCGTTGGATAATACTTTTACTAAAGCGTTGGATGCCAAATTGAGAAAGTTGCAGAAAGATGACAAGCAAACGGCGGGAATGAAAAGCAAAACCGATACTCCCAGAAAGCCGTTTATCACTACGGTCAAAAAGGGACACTTCTTGGATCCACCCCCTGAAATCGCGTGCTTGTTCGGATTCAAAGTCGAGCCCGTTGTTAGCAAAGAGAAAAAATTGTACGCGTATGCGAGCCAACCGAGAGTTCTGCACAAAGCAGTCGATGAGGTGCACAAGTCAAAATGCGAAGCCGCCTCAAAAGCTGCGAATTGTTTATCTTCTCCGGCCCTCACCAGGACACAACGCGGTGAACACGTTACCGATTTCAATGGAAACACTTCTAGAAGCCAAGGGTAAGTTTCTCGACGCTTTCCATGTTTGTGATTGTTCATGTACGTAACCAAAAAATTTCCTGCGCAGTCGGTAGGATTCGAACCTACGCTCCCAGAGGGAATCTGATTTCTAGTCAGACGCCTTAACCGCTCGGCCACGACTGCTGCAGGAAGTTGACCAAAAAGTAACCCCGATCCCGAAATTGTCGTGCAGCATTAAATCAAGCTCATTTATTTATACGTTGGTATTTAGAGCCGAGGAACAAACACTAAACAACCCCTTTCATAGTTCACAATTTTGGTTTAAGTATACAGAAATGCGTATAGCGTAAATGACAACACTTCTTGAGAGAACCTTTGACCCAGTGCACATTACCTATTCTTCGATTTCAAATTTATTTTAACAAAATAAGCAAGAGTCGTTTTAGATTCATGCCAAAATGTACTTTGCAAGGTGAAGACGTAACCACAGTAAGACCCGACTATGCTTTGTACCATAGACCATGGTATTTGGTCTATGATTGTATGTACTTAGCCCATATAGGTCTCTTTATTAGGTAGAAATTGTTGCTGAAGAGAAAATCCAGTCAGGAGATTAGTGTCCCAGTTTTTGTCGCACGATTTTAATACTCCGATAATGCAAGTATGCTAAAGTATTCCAAAGTTGGTTGGATTCAAGAAAGATTTTGGTTAGTATGCTGGTAGAAAGATATAATTTTGCGATCCTGCACCAAGAAAAGCAGCGATTACTTGCTCTGTGCCTAAATATGGGAGTCAAAATAATTGTATTTAACTATTTCGTTGGGAAAACCAAAATTTGACGTTCGTCGACTCGAGTTACCCATTTCGTGTGGAAATCGTGGAAGTCAAAAAATTTCCTGCGCAGTCGGTAGGATTCGAACCTACGCTCCCAGAGGGAATCTGATTTCTAGTCAGACGCCTTAACCGCTCGGCCACGACTGCTGCAGGAAGTTGATTAAAAAGTATCCCCGATCCCTATATTTTAGAGGCAGTAGCTTTCTAGGTAGGTATGTTACGAACGTACCTAATCTAGTTCTTTTATATTTCATTATTACACGTAAATATATTTTACAATCGAGAGAGAACTAAACACTAAATCACAGCGCAATTAAATTAAGTATACTAATGCTATTCGAACACCTAGTTGCTGTTTTCAAACATTTGAAATAATAATAATCAAATTCGATTTGGTAAAAGACACATTTTTAGAACCCTCATGTTCATATTTCTTGAAAAATTATCATTTCTTTTTAAATAATAAAGTACCAATTTCGTTGGAAAAACATCGAGACACATTAATGTTTCTTGTACGTATTTACCAAAAGGTACCAAGATTTACATTCATGTAGATACCCATTTCTCGGTGACAATTTGGACGATTTCAATGCCAAATGGAGAACATATTTGTTTGTCAACTTTATAAATCTACAATGAATTTATAGTAATGATGTATAAAGAAGAAATTATATGTGGAAATATAAAATTTATTTTTATTACCGCACCTAAACCGAACGAAAACACGCCATGTGTTGTATTGATTAATATATTGTCACGTGGTGTTTGAATTTGAACAAATCGACTCTTTGCAAAAAGTTGTTCGCAGTCGGTAGGATTCGAACCTACGCTCCCAGAGGGAATCTGATTTCTAGTCAGACGCCTTAACCGCTCGGCCACGACTGCTGTCGTACTTTGTTACCTTACAGATTTGTACATTATGATACCATTGTTAACGTTATCTTTTCTATCTTTATAATAATTAATTAATTATTACACTATATACTATACTAATTAATATATCATTTCATTTTCATTAATAATATAATTTATTATGATCTATGCAAATATTTCAATGGCAGCTTGAATACTCCATCCCCCTATTATCAATAATATCTAATCTTTAGATTTTTGTAATAATAACTAAAATAAGTAACGAAATTAACAATAAATAATTAACACTATGTTATTCACTCCGTAATTAAAATACGTTAAATTATTTAATTTTAATTTGTCTAAATTTGACAGAATCTCCCTCTCCCCTCACTTTATTCACTCAAAATTTAACACAAAATCTCTGTGTTTAATTGACAAAAATTTAAAAAAAAAGTCCGCGTGTCCAAAGTATTTCAAAGGTTTTTTTATTATATATTTTTTAAAATTGGACAATTTCCACACTTGGAAACACCTGCTATTTGAACGAAAAAGTATACGTATAGATACAATTTTTCAGAAAAGCGAACAGGTATTTGCATTATTTGGTATTTTATATTTTATTAACTATCTTTGTAGATTTGTCCAGAAATCAGAAATGTTAATATTCCGAGTAAAAAGGTTTTTTTAGTGCCTTTTTACTCGGAATATTAACATTTCTGATTTCTGGACAAATCTACAAAGATAGTTAATAAAATATAAAATACCAAATAATGCAAATACCTGTTCGCTTTTCTGAAAAATTGTATCTATACGTATACTTTTTCGTTCAAATAGCAGGTGTTTCCAAGTGTGGAAATTGTCCAATTTTAAAATTGTTATAAGTTATACTTCCTGACAGTTTTCGTCTGTGAGTGATGTACTCAGTAAGTTGTAACTTCTCAACCCTCTCTGCTCCCAAGACTCGAGCAATCGTCGCCGTAAACTTCTTTTCTTCTTTTTTAAACGAATCTTTCTGTACCACTTCCTTCGCTAATTATTATATCGTTGATTATATTTATTTATTTATTGTCCCTCTTGTTCTAGGCCCTTAACAGGCTTACACCCAATTACAGAGTGACCCGCATAATACTTTTTTAGAGGTGCCCCTGCAAAAGGTTTTGATTTTAAATAAAGTGTATGATTAATTTTTTGAGCAAGTGGAACTATTTTTCAATTTTCCAAATTTCGAGAACTAACAAAACTAGAATTGTGTGGCCATGAATTTTAGTAAAAATCACTACCTAATCACTGATTTAAACAAATAATAAAGTTAATTCGGTTGAAAGTATTCCTAGAAAAATTAAGAACGTTAATACCTACGATTTTGACATCTTTGTCATAACTCGAAATTATTGGCGTATTGGGTTCGTATGCGTTTCAACGTTTTCCTTGCAAAAATAGTGCATTTCAATGCCGGATTTTAACGATTCCTGCGAATATTTCAATATAATGAACAATAACATTGATACTAACAAAGTCAAATTAACACCATGATAGTAACCTATTTTTTCTTTTTATGAAAAAAGGTGCACCTATCCAATGCGCGCCTAACGCATGTTTAAGGTGGCGTTTACAAATAGTGCAAAGGTTGCCTTGCGATTTCCTCAATAACTTTGTTGCTAAAGGTTTTAGCTTGTGAATGAAGTTAAATTTGATAACAAATTATTATCAGTGTGTGATAAAAATGAAAAATATATATTTTATATGCGAGTTTTTAGCGCATTTTTGGTAACAAAAAGGAGCTTATCATTTCACTTTGTCCGGCTGGCTGGCTGGCTGGCTGGGCGGATTGAAAAACTTTTGATCTAGACATCGTAGAGAGGTCCGGTTTTTTGCATTATCTCCGTCTTGTCGAGTTATTGGCGCAATGGACATTCATTAAGCCCGTAGTGGTTGCGTTTAATTAGAATTTGCGAAATAACTAACGCCGCTTGAAAACTTGTCCGTGCGTATATCGATTTTAAGCCGATCCGATTGACGTAGAGGAATGGCTTTTTTATAAAATATACTTTTGGCATTGCCTAACTACGGTCACTAATATGACTTATCTAGGATAACTACTTCAAGGTGAAAACTAATCAAAATCATAACACGGTGATGAGTTTTACAGTTTGTGGTATAATTTTGGTTAAAAATATCGTATCCAGGTCTGAGCGGTTTTTAGCGTAACACAACGAAGTTGAGGTAACGCTTATGTGCTCGTGTTTCCGTCTGTCCGTCCGTCCCCGTCCGTCCGTCCGTCCGTCCGTTCCATCGAGATCTCGGCCCCTGGGACACCTAGAGACTTCGGGTTTTCGCTAATTGATAGCTGCTATGGTCTATATTTGCCCATTTCAGACAGTTTTATTGCACTCTCTATTTTGCGCAGACTGCGCATTGCCAACTTTCTTATTTATGGAGATATTTCTTTGAAATTTTAACCACAGATGCTTCTAGTAAAGGCAAACATTTCACACATAGTAAAAATTATGTAGACATGCGCAGTGACTGCGCAATGCGAACTTTCCTATTTACTGAGATTTTTCTTTGAAATTTTAACCACACATGCTTCTAGTAAAGGCAAACATTGCGCACATACTAAAAATTATGTGTGCGCATGCGCAGTCCCTGCGCAATGCCAACTTTGCTATTTATGGAGATATTTCTTTGAAATTGGAACCACAGATGCTTCTAGTAAAGGCAAACATTTCGCAAATAGTAAAAATTATGTGTAGGCATGCGCAGTGACTGCGCAATGCCAACTTTCTTATTTATGGAGATATTTCTTTGAAATTTGAACCACTGATGCTCCTAGTAAAGGCAACAACTTGTTGATTGCAGCGTTATCGGAGATCGGGGATTTCATTGAGGCAACTGAAGACGTCTTGATTATGGGAGACTTTAATTTCCCATTAACTGTCGGAAATCGGGTAGAGAAATTTCTTCAAGAGAAATTCAATATAGTGATCATCTCTCCCCGAACAGTGACAACGAATGGCGGAACAATAATTGACGGAGTTTTTGGCAAAATGGTCAACTACACTGTTGATTGTTCGGTTTACGAGTCGTACTGTTCATACCATCGTCCAATTATTATTAGAGTTCGTGAAAATTAATAAAGAAATATATGTTTGCATAAACCTTATTTTATAATTAAAATTTTCTGATAAAATACTGATTGCTAATGCAATACTGATCCGTCACGCCAAAAATGCGCTGAAGTCTCATCGATGCACATACGAGGACTTTTGTAATTTTTTTAAGAACTTCTTTCCTAAATAACGGCGAAAGTACAGGAATTAGCTAAATAATTTATGTTTCAGACAAATGTCGGAACATTATATATATTTGAATGAATGTTATTTCAACCAAAACTGTATACCCAGAAGGAAGTTATTGTGGAAACAAATTTCCACTTTTTCCATGTTAAATGCAAAAAGTTAAAAATGCTTCGATTTGCAGGCCAGAAACCTAACGCCAAGTAAATTCACCCCCGAAACATTCAACCTGGAATATTCGCTCCCGCAATGCTCTTTCCCCTAATATTTGCCCCATTCATCACAGAACATTTCGCCCAGGAAAATTCGCCTCCGTTGTAATAACTGCTCGGTGTTTCGAAGAGTTGAGTTTCGTGTACACAATTCTTCAGATCCTTGTTATGGTATACCCGTGAGCGAAATTTCGGGAGTGAATACTTCGGACGGAGGGAACTTTTCGATATTCTTCAAGTTTTTCCTCAATAACTCTGGTGATAATCTATGCTAGGCTAGAGTGAAATATTTCTACAGTCTCCTATGATACTCGACTGACACTTCCCCAATAAGTGACCAAAATGACTTTGCATCGTATACCGTAGCTCCGTAGACTAAGTACCCAAATATAAACCTTACATTACACGAATCAATTTTTTCTTCAATTTTAAGTACTTTTCTAAACGTTGCATGAATGGAGTTACATAATGTCAATTTTAGACTAATTTGAAGAGATCAATACCACATCTATTCAAACTGATTGACAAGTCTTAAAAATTGAACAGTACTTTACCTTTTAACTTCTATTTTCTTCTGTACTGACACTGATTTCCATTACAGAGATGCACCTGTTCCATATGCAAACCTTATGTTCGAGAAGAGAGTTATTCGCGGAAGCAACTTTGCGCATCCCATGCAAACGGTAAGCTAATCATTTAGAAAGCATAGGTATAAATCTGACGCAACCACTCTAATCGGCCCATTTGTTAGGAGTAAAATAAACTATATACCTACAGATTGCACAGCATGAGTCTTTAGAAAATAAGCACCTGGGGTCGATTGTGATATTAAAAAACACCCACATTCATTACATCACGTATACATGTAATACTAATATAGTAACACTTGATCATGTAACCAATAGCTGCGAAAGTGGAACCCCAACTTTGCGTACGCAAAACTTCTATCAAATGATACAAGTGAGGTAAGTGTATTTTTTTGGCGCGCCAACACACATGCTTGCTTAAGTCTTAAATGCGCCGATTTGTAGTGCCTCGATATACCAGTTAATCTTATAACTTGCTAATAATTTTTGTTACGGATTAAGGGCGAAGCAGAGTCCGCAGCTTCTAGAGCGGCGGAAGCTAGAAGAAGAGCGCTCGCTCGTAGAAAGGCGCAAAAACAGCAAATTCGAGGCGCTCAATTACGTATAGGATCACCGCCACCAGTTCCAGGACGAAAACACGAGCCGGTGCAGACAGAACTATATTTAGAGGAAATTTGGAGTAACCCTCCGGTTAACGATACGTGGACGCAGACTGACCTATTCTTAGAGCGGCCCATATCTCCTTTCTACGTTCCGGCAAAGACTGGAGCGGATGTTGCTACTCAAATATACCCAGGAGACGTAAGCTTATTACGTGGAGCGCGATCTGTTTCTAACTTATGAAACCCTTTCAGTTGTTTGACTTCGATATGGAAGTTCAGCCTATTCTTGAAGTACTCGTGGGAAAGACGATAGAACAAGCGCTCATAGAGGTTTTGGAAGAGGAAGAATTGGCAGCGTTGCGGGAGCAGCAGAGGCGATTTTTGGAGATACGAGCTGCCGAGACCGCCGAAGCGCAGAGGTTGCAAGAGAGAGAGCGTCGTCTGCAGGCGGAGAAGCAACGGAGAATGCTCGAATACGAGGAGGGGTTACAGTACCAAAAAGAAATGGAGGAAAGAATAGCTGCCGCGGTCTTAATGCAAGGGTACATGGCCGATTTGTTACCGTCCGTTTTAGAGGGATTGGAAGAAGAAGGATTTCTGGCGGACAACGTTAAGAAAGGTGCAATTATCGTTTATGTACATCGAACGCACAATTTGATTCACTACTTTCAGATTTGGACGAATCGTTTATGCCGTGGTTAATGAAAGAGGTTACTACAGAACTGCAGGAGATGGTTAGCAGTCGGGATGTTCTGATAGGTAAGTTAAACGCAGAGAAGATGATGTTGATAGTGACGTTTTTATTTTAGACATCGTGCGCGAAATTTTGGAAAATCGCGCGGAATTGTATAAAGCACTGAACACGGAGAAACTTGAAGAAGAGGAGGAGGAGGGAGATGAAACTCAACCTGATATTAGTTTAATTGAGCATTTAAAGTTAAAGGAAGCACTTGGTACGTAATTAACCTCACTCGCGGATTTAATATAACATTAATTTGTTCTAGAAGGCGACACAACGACAACCTAAAATTGTAGTAAAAGGTAAGTGAATTTGCGTATGAGTTTTTATCGATATGTAGATATTAATTTTGTATTCATTTTCAATTTTCTAAAAGCAAAATTCACGCATCTAATCTTGGCACGCACCATTTACCTTATTATTGATTTTGTTATGAGTTACAGTAGGTACCCTTTGCTATAATTATTTCAATTATTTGTCCATTTGCAAATTTCAATCGATTAATGTACCTAATATGACATGTAGAATTTGTAGGGTTCACTGAACCTTTAATAACGTATCATATTGGGGTAGTCGGACATATTATTTTGGTAGTGGACTAGTCTATTTTAACTAGCCTAGAAATCGCGTTTCATCGTTTCTGTTGTAACTGGTAAAATCGTCAAAGATCTGAAACCACGTGGTTGTCTCTATATAGTCTACAGGGTTGGCAAGAGGCGCTATGATACCTGCATCAAAAGCTCCAAACGAACGAATAGTTCACAGAGTATTTAAGATGACGATGGAATTTGAGAGAACCACTCCTTATTACGATCACGCATTTTACTATCTTTGATGTACACACTCCATAGTTTTAATGACCTCCCTGTTTCGTTTCAGATGAAGGGAAGGGCAAATGGCAAAATTAGAAATCTCGTTTTAGAATTTTTCGTACCTAACGCATTTTGGACGACAAACAGCACCTTCTCACAACATTCTGTTATGAATTTACTGGTATATGTATTTATTTTTATTGATACCATATTATGTAATATTCTTAATAAACATTTTAGCAAACGGTTATACAATTATTTAAATAGGCTCCATCCTGGTATAAACCAAAACCAGATCCCACAAGCAAAGATTAACGGGAGGAAATATTTCAGGGACTTTAACAAAATTTAAGTTTAAAGAAACATTTTTATGTAGGTAGGTACAAAAGACTGCTTTATCGTCTCCCTTGATTGATCTACACTGGCAGAATCGAGCTAATCGGAATTTATAGGACCATATCTTGCGAAAGCAAGACAAGGTGTACTTCAAAAACCGCTGGCTTTCTAGTATCGGCAACAAGAAGTAGGTGAAGGTAGGTCGAAAGAGACATACCGCAAGGTGTAACTTTTGATTCCAAAGATTTGTTTTGCCCCTCTGATGGTTAGTTTGGGAACTAAAGTTAAGCTCCTACTCAGAGGTCACCCCTATTCATCCACTAAAGGTAACATTTTAAAGAATTTAGGTAACTATGTAACGTACCCTTCTATGGTTTTAAGCAAAGAGGAGGAGGCTCTTTACAACTAAACATTTAAAGGTCGCCTGGCGTACATGCAAAATCCTCCGACACTCCATTCTGCAGTTATTTGCACTGAAAGCTTTGGCATGGCCTTTTATGAGTACCCTTCCTAAATTTTGTTGTCAAGGTATTTGCTTCGACTTTTTCCAGACGTCCCAATCGCCCTTTGTGAGAATCAGTACAATTCCCGAAGTCAGTACGCCTCTATTTCTGTTTATAATTGCTTTCCATTACTCATAAAGTTTTGTCCATACATTCGACCCATTCTTCGATTAATTTCAGCTACACTATTACCTCAATCTTTCACGAAACGAATACGCTACGGGAGAATCAATTACAGCGGTCATTTTAAATGTTAGTAGCTGACCACTTGCGTCTTGAAATCGATAATGACAGTTCTTGTTAATAAAGGAGATAAATCATCGCCTATTGCAAACCCCATGTGATTATTACTTGTCTAGAAATTATACTGGACGATCGGAGGTTAACAACTTTTGTGCAGATAAAGCGCATAGGTAATTAAAATCGAAATAGCTTAGTAAATTGCAGGGTTATCTTAGAAGGCATGCTATATTTATCGATGTTTACCTACTTTCTTGACAGACAATTAATGAGAAAGGGGCGCTTTACACATAAACGTTTAAAGGCCGCCCGGCATATATCCCGATCGGCCTTTGTGAGTACCCTCCTCCGACAGTCTGTTCTTGAGATATAAGGAATAATATCCGATCACGAGAAGGGGTCGAGGAAGAGAACTATGGTTGCTAGAAAGTAATTCCTTCCGCTGAGACCTTTCATTACAGTACCATGAAGGAGAAAACCAGTTCACAAACCAGTTCCCCCCCCCCCCCAACCTCCTCTTTTGATAAGGGGCTAGAAAGAAGGGCAGTAGTACCAATCACCTAAACACGGCAGATGTGGGTGCGGATGGACGGACGAAACGCACACAATAGCACACTTTTTTATTTCTTAAAAAAAATGCTCTGGATTGAACCAAAATGCAGGTCTAAAGTTAGCATAAAATTTGCAAAAATCAATAAAATTGAATTAGTCCGGGGAATAGAGACTGAAAATGGACCGTTTCCTGCAAAACAAGAAGTAGTTAAAATTGTTTTTGCATGTCATGTAGGAATATCTGGTGGTTAAGAATCCTAGTTTTCGACCTCCCACCCCTTGTGCTTCCCCCGTACCACCCCTAAAACCAAAGAAATTTGGTTGGTTTTTTAGTTTTCCAATCATATCTTTTTATAGGTTCACTGTACACAAAAATATTGTTATTAGAAATTGTAGAACATCAAATTTTACATAAATTTGCCATATACTTTTTTTTTCGTAAATTTTTTATTTCAAAAGATACAGAGTTTCAAGGTTGTTTTTATTTTAAAGATTCCGAAATTTCTATGTATGTAATTTTAACGAAATTGTATGTTATCTCTATAATCATAAGATTTATATGAGAAAATAACTCGATTATGTAGCTATGGTGCTATTAATTTTGGTACCCTGCACCCCTATCAAAGGGGAGGATTGCGCTTCAACCCCTTGGTCGTAGTAGGTATTTGAATCACCGTGTGAGTATGACGCTTACGAATAGTTATCAAATAAGAAAACTTGTGTTACTTCATTTTAACTCCTTCCATATCTTATAAAACGACGATTACTTCAAACCCCTATAGTAGTGATTGTTCAACTATCTAAGATTATATCGCTACATGAATAGTAAACATTTTTTATTTGCAATGTGTATTCGGAAATGTCATTATCTAAGTGTGATCGAGCAATCAACAACCGAGGATTAAACCACTCATTTCAGTTGGGGGTAGTCGGGTAGACAGGGTTAAACCGGAACGAGAATATTAGAAAATATAAGTAATAAGCGTTGTATTTACTCTCTAACTAACTTATCAATCCCCACAAGGGGTTGAAATATTCATTTCTTCCGGGGGGAGAGAGGGGGGGGGGGGATAGAAGCTGAACTGAAGTGAAACAATGTTTTTTTTATTTCAAACGTATATTTGAAAGCGCTACAATCTCACAGTGATTCAAAAATCTCCACTAGCAAGCGTTGAAAGTTGAATTATTATGCATCCCCTTTGGTAAGGGTGCACGGTAGGGAGATTTATATCACGATAAATTCAAGATATATTCTCATAAAACTCAATAACTTAATTATAGAGATAAAGATTAAATTTTGGTTAAAACATCTAGTACATAGAAATTTCAGAATTTTTAAAAATATAAGCAACTTTGAAGCGATTTCACAAAAAAAGTAAGGTACCTCAAAATTGTGTACAATTTTATGGTCTACAATTTCTGATAACAATATTTTTTTGTAAAGTGAATCTATAACAAGATATGATTGAAAAACTACAAAACCAACCAATTTCTTTGGTTTTAGAGGTGGTACGGGGGAAGTACAAGGGGTGGAAGGTCGAAAACTTAGATTCTTAACCACCAGATGACTGTCTATGACATGCAAAAGAAATTGGAACTACTTCTCATTTTGCAAGTTAAAACCCTCTATTCTCTGGACTAAGTACCCAAAGGCCTGTGATAGAGGTCAGAGTGAGTGCAACAAAACATTGGTTGCGATTTTGCAAATACAGTAGCTCGGGCGAAGAGGAAAACTTGTCGAAAGTTAATACAAATTGCAGGACAAAGGTACTTCACAGGAGATAGTCAAATTAAAGGTAGAACGAAAACAATAAATGTTCGTTCGTTATATTGGAAAAGCTTGACATCTGACAAGTTGTTCAGACAGAATTAAAATATCGTCCCTTCGAAAATCCTCCAAATCAAATGAATTTTATTTTCCTAGCACATTTTATACCCGCGACTTCGTACGCTTTTTAAAAATAAAGTTTTGTTTTACGTTGACCAATAACTTTTCATTCAAACATCAGACTTAAATATTCGGAGTTACAAAGGGCTTCTTCTATGGCTTTCGAGACATAAACACTTCGAAGGGCACGGAACAGGAAGTACAGATTACATAGACAGCGACGACAGCGTAAAAGCAGATCTAACGTATGGTATATAGGTCAAATGTGAAAAGTTTGAAACGAATCGGTCCAAGCGTTTGTTAGTTATCGTGTTTACAAGCAGACATGCAGACAGACAGACACCATGGGCTCCCCTATAAAGCGCGCATCGCTTTGCTCTAGCTATTTATAATTCATTTAAAAAATTACACTTCATTCATTTGTTTGTGCTATTTTCCAAAAGTTACTGATTTCTCGAACATTTCAACACTTTCTTGCGTGGACGCCATACTGTCACACAGTGGAAAATCAATGAAAATTCACCTAATTTTGAATGAGTAGCTAAACATAATTTGACATTAAATTACTCATAGAGATGTCACACAAAATCCAAGTTGTCCTTCCAATATTGGAAAAAAAGTCTTGTAGGTACTTCGCAAAGTCGATAAAACAATGGTCAAGTGGAGATAAGCTAAATGATCTCTTTGACGCTACTGATAACAAACTGTAGACCTTCCAAAACCCTTTCAGAGACCGTGGGAATATAAAAAAGAGCAAAACGAAACAGAAGTGTTAAACGGAACATTCCCATGAGGATTTCATTTTTTTTCGTAATAGAAAGTGCATTGCCCGATCATTTGCATACGAAACGTAAAAAATATCAAGAAAACAGTATTCCTTATGCAGATCCACATTCTATCCTGTATCCAGCTATAAGGCACAATTCCTTTAAGAAGGGCTGTACCGAATTGTACCATAGAGTAACCATCGCTTCTAGAAAACGTTGTGATTAAGGTAACGTGATCCAGCTAATCCTTGTGACTTAGAATAACTTCCGGTTCCATTAAAAACGTTAATTTTATGGGACATGATCAGAAAACCTCTTAATGGATTCGATTTTTTAGCAATTGGTGGAGGGAAGCCTAACTGTATTATATAACAAATAATTATGGCTATATCATTTAGAAGGATTTTTGAATTTTCTTTTGAATGGTCTTATTTAAAATATTATTTCCTATAAAGGTGTTTGATTTTTGTATATAAACAATTACCATATTTATCATTCCAATTAAAGGTTAATTAGTAGGACCTAAGTTTTTTTATTAATTTGTACTTACTGTCTGCAACCAAATCGGATCGTGATTTTCTGAGTTAAAAAAGGGCATTAGAATTCGCGTTTTTGTAGTTCGCTGTCGGTCAGATAATTTGTGTTACAAAATATTCATAATAATTTTAGTTTTAATTTAAGTTTAGTTAATTTTATTTAGCCTGAGAGATGTTAATGCGAACATACGCGCCAGCATTGGCTCGTCTAATAACGTTACCATTATAGTCGCAAGGAGTTACTTTAGTTTGTATGAAGAAAACAGTCAGATTAGTGGGCATTGGCCTCGGACCTAAGACTTCCCAAATGATATTCATGTACGTAATTCACTGCGCAAGAGGTTTGGTTGAAATATTAAGCTTAAATTTCATTTCAACCTAGCCTTGCTTAAAATAGAAACGTAATTAAGTACTTGAATTATTAATCTGACTTATCACGTCACAACTTTTAAAGTACTTATGAAAAACTGTACCAAACGTCAGTAGATAGGTAAGTAATACGTGATTGATATTACCTACAGTTCAGTATGAAAATTTCGTTAATATAGGTAAGTATCCATTTCTATTCCAAAACGCATTCGGACCATGGGGCGGAAAGGTATTTGCATTTTTCATTATCTTAAAAGCAGCGTTTGACAGAGTGGGGAAGGGAAAAAATTATAGAAGATGGAAAAATAGACAAGAAGTTAAAGAACAGAATCAAGGAACTATATGGTGAAACAAGATTTAGGGTAAGAGTGGATAGGAAGAAGTCTGAAGTATTTTGGACATGTAATGGACTATGGCAGGGATGCCCACTTGGACTTCAGAGATTTACGACCTGAAGCAGAAGAGCACAAGACGCATTCTCGCGCTACTTCCTTATAGCTTTGCAATTGCATGTTTATTAACAGCGTGACAAACCGGTAAAAAAATTTGTAACAGAATCTTCTTATGGAACAAAATTTCCCTTTGGCCACGTGCATGCTCACACATTATACTTGTCACACATTTTATCGACCAGCACTAAGAGGTAGTTCTGATAGTTTAATAAATTACGAAAAGTCTCACTGCGTTGTGACCCATAGTTCTCCATACGCTGAAGTTCACCCAGCAACTTGTTCGCTTTCCACGCCAACAATTTTCGGCACAACTCTTGCATCTCCTGTGAAGAGCAACCCGATGGGAAATTCCCAAAAACACAGCTACACCAATCACTAATGAAAGGATTTAAAATAACGAATAGAGCTGCTTTTAGATTAAACGATAACCCGTTACAATCAATATACAGCGAGTCGTCCAATTTCCTCGTTTTGAGAAACTTGTATTGTCTTTCATTTAGTTTCATTTTGGTAGCTTCTAATGTATCACTAAGCGTCCAACTGATACAATCTAAACCTTGATGAGGTATAAAGAAACCGTATTCGCACAATAATTTTATGTTGTCGTGGGTACCGTACGAAATAAAAATCTCCTCGTGCCTCTTTGAAGGAGATAGCGTGATGAGCTTGTACACCCACTTTCCGTCTGATTTTACAAGTGTTGCGCTAGTTCTTGCGTTATTAGAGTGATTAAACATATCGAGAAAAGGGCATAAAGCCATGGACGGTTCGTCGGATAAAATATTACCCCATTTACTGGAGGACAGTTCTCGAACCACATTTGGATCGACGTAAACTGCTCTAGTGTTGACCATTACGTATGCCCATATAAATGAATTTAACGTAATCACGCGATGACCTACGGTTTGGCAACATTCGCATTTCCACCTTGGATTTATTGATTCCTTTGACCGCTTCCAACTAAGTTCAAAGTTTTCACGTCTGTTCAGAATAGTCTCTCGTAAAGTGTTAGGAAAAAGATCAATTTCGCTAGAGGTGGCCAGCCACGGTAGGTGTGGTAAGCAATCCGGTAGCGAATCCAAGTAATATTTCCAATTAGATGACTCACCCTTGTGACGTTCGATCACAAGAAATAAACTTAATAGATCATGAATTGTTAATTTTTCACCGTTGGGGGTAACTACAACTTCACCCACACCTTCAAGCGAGTCAAGAGTGATCATTAATGCATAAGGAACTTCGATTAATGTGTCTTCGATCATTAAGCTGCGATCACATGTGACCCCACGACCTGTGTTTTTAAAGTGGGATAATTTTAGTTTCGTTTCATTGTTCCAATTGTGCCTCGTCATCCAGCGCGTCAAGTTGACGATCATACTATCGTGATTTAGGGCAGTGGAGATTGATGAATTCTTTTTGCGACTTCTTCGTCTTCTCCAAGTACGACCCATTTACTGAAAATAAAGTAGAAACATTTTAGAAGATTTATGCAAATACGTCCAATTCTACCAAAATAATGTAGCGAATATTCCAGAAATCCCGATAAACATCGAGGCACCATGATATATTAGTCATCGGCGATAAAAAAAACGAAGGCGCATGTGACGCAATCTTTCTGGGAAATATCACGTGATTTCTTCGAACACATTCTAGAATACTCGGGTCCTAGAAAACCGCGAATGGTATTGATTCACCATTTTTTCACACAAAACACACAAAATTCTATTCAAATAAATTTATACGCCTCCCGATGCTAAATAATATTTAACCCACACAAAAGAATGACATTATTGGACTGAAAATTCAACTTCACAATTAATGAACAAAAATTTACTAATATCTTTGGCTTCGGTTCATTTACCATTAATAAAAAATACACAAATTTGTTTATGGCATAAATTCCCGTGAATCGACCTCTTCAGGAATGTTAGAATGACTTTACTTTAAACTTAAGCATAAATCGATTCGTATAGTTACACAATGAAAAAAATTCAAAATAACTAACATACATTTATCGATGAGTCAAAATTTTCTCCTTTGGAAGGGTAGCAGCAATTTGGAAAATTGGATGATGGAACGCCCTGTCCAATACAATTGGACATTTTGTATCGCCAAGTAAAAATGTGGTTACTCATTGAATGTGAAAGATTGTTGACAGATTTGAATCCAGAATAAACCGTGCTTCGACTTTTAGGCACTGGCAGCATGTAGATGTCCAAAATTACCCTCATAATTTAGGGTTTTGACAGCCAACAAAAGTACGAATTAATTGTCTTTAAATACTGAACTGTAGGTACCTTAATAGAGGATTAGATTGGATGCGATATTTCCAAATATCCAAACAAATATACAGGGTATTAATTAATGTCATGCAGATATTTCAGGGGATGATAGTACTTGTCAAAATAAAAAAAATGGCGTCTTTTCATTAGACAAAGTGGCAAAGAAAATGTAACATTCTGTATATTACTACCAACAATTGTAATATGTACTTTATTGTAGAGATTCAAAGAAATAATTGATGTATCAAATTTATTTATCACAGAACATATGCGAGAAAAAGTAAAATACGAGAAAAAATTTGAAACTCCACCCTGTATAACGAAAACAAAATGATTCGTCTGAGAGAGACATATCTATTTATTAGTACAGTCGAAGCGAAAATCTTGAATACGAAGTGTCGGAAGAGAGTACTCACAAAGTGAAATTGGGGCGTCTGGAAGAAATGTAACAAAAAATAAAGCATTTAATAAAAGTTGCCTGAATGTTTAATGTTTTGATGTCCTTCATTTAAAAAGATAAAAAAAATGGAGCTAGGTACCTGCCGCTCAATTTTAAAATCACTGGCGCAAATACAATTCAGCTATCTCTAATCGTTTGGTCGCTAGAGGGCGTTCCCCGAATTTAGTAGATTTCTTTAATGTCTCATAACTTTCTTATTATTATAAATAATTGATTCCTTAGAGCACGTTTTTATGTAGAATGCCTCGCGACACACAGTTTTAAGTTTAAGTGTCCAATTTGGACAGCCGGTGGCGCAAGTTGAGCTGCAAATACAAACATACCAATGGCGGCGTTACTGGTAGAAATTCTAGCCAATGGAGCTGAAATACTTTATGTTACGCTCAGTTGCTAGGCGACGACTGCGCGATAGTACTTCATATAAAATGATACAATTCTCTGAAAATAATTATTCTGCATAAGAATAAGAGGGCAGTAAAAATCATCCCTTGGTGATAAAATTCCTTAAGCCGTCACTGGTAAAATTGAACTGGCGAAGCTAATTTTCTCGCACTACTGTGAGTACGGTTCTGCTCATTTTCATTTTTGTTTTTCTTTTTTTACAACACAAAGGAATAGGCCTATTTTTAGTATTTTTACGTTGTGGAAGTTAATAATCCCAAGAATAAAGCCACATTTTCAGCCATAAATTGAGGAAACTTGCCTTTCAAAATTTAAATTATTCAAAATCCAGGCTAAATAAAGGAGACAGAAATATTAAACCGTGACTTATTAAAGAAAGACGTAAGTACAACAGTTAACATAACCTTACTTCTTAAATATTTAAAATAGAATATAAAGGTGGAATTATTCAAATCTAATTCTTTTGTGCCCTTACTTAATAACCTTCTTACCTCATTAATAGATACGAAATGTTGTCAAAGAAGAACTAGAAATAGTTCCACCACCACACTTAATGCAGCACATTTTCTAACCAAACTTCGAATAAGTGACATGGGTAGCTCCGATCCAGAACTGCTTTCAACCCACGAAAATTGCATAGAATACGGAACTAATCTTAAAATACTCGCGTCGAATGATCAAGTTAAAGAGCTTCAAACAATTCTGCGGGACAGGTAACACAAATCGCTACATTGTTTCCTGTAATATTCCTCGTGTCTTACAGAAATACATCACGTAGTGACTTCAAGTTTTACGCAGACCGTTTAATTAGACTCGTGATTGAAGAAAGTCTAAACCAACTACCATTCACAGACTGTAAAGTTATAACTCCGACAGGTGCGACTTATAATGGTCTGAAGTACCAGTCAGGCAATTGCGGTGTCTCTATTGTAAGATCAGGGGAGGCTATGGAGCAGGGTTTAAGAGATTGCTGTCGCAGTATTCGTATAGGGAAAATTTTAGTCGAATCGGATGCAGATACACACGAAGCAAAAGTTGTATATGCTAGGTTTCCGGAGAACATTGCACAAAGACAAGTAAATACGTCTCTTATGTTTGCTTCGGTGTACAATCACTTTTAGGTTTTACTGATGTATCCTATAATGTCAACTGGAAATACTGTCGCTCAAGCAGTAAATGTATTGAAAGAACATGGAGTTAAAGAAGATTGCATTATTTTAAGTAATCTATTTTGTACACCACTTGCCGTTAAAACAGTGATGGACTCATTCCCTAAAGTGAGTTTGGTATTCTCGACGTAATCAAGCTTATTATGTTTCTTAGATGAAGATTCTTACCTCAGAATTGCATCCAGTTGCCCCAAACCACTTCGGTCAGAAGTATTTCGGTACTGATTAGATTTATAATCAACTTTTCTATTTTTTTCGACGTTTGGTTTTTAAGTTTGAATGAAAGAAATGGAAACCATAGACTGCCTGCATTGAAGTAATGTGTTCCACTCATGATGAACATTTCGTATCGATAAGAAGAATTCATATATCGACGACTGCAGTATGAAAATTTGTTTTTCAAGTAAACTATCAATTGTTTTGTTGAGATGGAAGCTTACATGTATAATGTAAATACTAAATATGAACTGTATGCATTACAAATTGAGTTTGATTTGATTGTAAAACCAGAATGCTTCTAAAACCTTTATTAGCCTTTTATAAATTCAATGCTTTTACCATTGAATAAGCGCTTTAAAAAAGTATAACTGCATCATAAGCCTCATAAATGGTTTCCTTGACAACACTGTTTGCATATTTTGATGAAGTAGGCCAACAACAATTTTCCCTTATAAGAAAAGGGACCCGTAATAGAGCGCGCGCGCGTGAAGCAAATTGCGATCATACTGCCACCACCAGTGGCGCCCGCTCAGGTATTACATTAGGAAATTACAATTTATTTATACTGCCATCATGGTATGATTAACCTGTGCGTACAGTTGTCGGACATAATATTAGGTTCTTATCTGAATAGAGAGACAAAAAACGCGATAAACGTAAACATACGACTGGACTTTGATCGTTTCAGAAACTGGGTTCGCGATATAAGCGCCATATTATTGAAAGTAAAGGGTTTTTCCGGGGGTTTTTCATTAAGAGCGCTCGAACTTTGAAATGAAATAAAACAACCTGTTTAAGTGATATTACCACAAGTTTTATAATATTTTAAAGGATATTCGATGACATTATTTATGAAAAATAATTTCAGTGAAATGGCCCCCGCGACTCCGCTGTGGACGTTGCAGGTGGTGGACCAATTTTGGACATGTTCGCTTAAACTGGGCTGAATTTCACGAAGAAAGCGAGTTATACTGGCCTTTAGGGCAGCAATTGACTGTGATTGGTCTGCATAGACTAGGGAACTGAAAACCCAAGTCTCGGCGCAAAATCCGCCAAGTTAACGTCCCAGAAAGACCCATCTCTTGCGCACTCTGCAGAATGGGCTGCCTGGGGTTTTCTCGCACACTATTCCGAACGGCAATAATATTCTCCAACGATCTTGCGTTTCTTTGACGTACGGGAACTGCTTCATCAATCACTAACCCCGTTGTCTCAAATTTTTCATTAAACAACGGATTGTGGACTCTGCAGGATGTCCATGAAAGCCATACATTGGACGCACCGCACGGAACGTTAGGCGAACGGAGCCCTGATTTCGATAATCAATTGTAACCATTTCTACGCAGCGTTTTTAAAATACTAATACACAACCTCACTCTTTCGTACATTAATTTGTCATTCCTGACCACTACTATATAACATCGTTAAAAAAAATTTGTATTCATTTCACTTCATCAATGACGCTCGGCCTGAAGATGACTAGTTAGGTCGAAATCGATAGCCGCATAAGACAAATACAAAACGTGTCTAAAAAGAATTTCTTTAAACCCCTTTCTCAGTTTCTTGTACTTAAGTAATAAGCTGTTGATACTATAGCAAACCGTTGACGATGACGACTGTGATAATACTGAATTGAGATGTCTTCTCCCCTAACGGGTTTAATCATAACGATCTTCAGGATATCTTGTGTTTATCGAATGTGGCGGCGATCGATGTGTATTGCTTCGAACATCGATCGATGACCTCTCTCTTTTGAAGACCAAATCCTATCTGTCGTACTACATGTAAGTACAAAGGCAACATACACTGTAGTTAAACTACTCCATACAAAGTAATCAGTCGCCTAAGGGTTAGGTATCCAAACATGTACATATCTGTTACGTCATGTAACTAGATAGTCACGCCGTCACTGGAATATCGCTTGCAGGTTATATCACTTACTTACTGTAATCGAAAAATTATCAAGGAAAAGAAGTATAAAGCAGTATTTTATTGATGCACAAAAATATAGGACAATTGTAAGATTATGAAAATGAAGACCTTAAAAGTGTTTTATTAACTACCATGAAGATTTAATTAAATTTATCCAAACCAGACAACGTGCCGTTTTTTATCTTGCCTATGAAATGATATTCCTGCTGGACAACGACCACTGCAACTTTTACAGTTGTACGCAGAACAATTCACCACGTTTATATCACACAGTTTTGCACACACAAACTTTATCAATAATGAAGAAATGTCAAAAAATTCACACTGCCACCGCGCTTTGAGTGCCACCGAAAATATGGCGGTCGTCTCGAAATTCGCGTCAAATTCACGCATGCCGTGGATGTGGTATTACGGGTCCCCTCTCTTTCCTTGTCTAAGAATTTTCCGGACCATTTTCTGTCCAGATCCAGTGCTTAGCAACGGTCTAAAATTCTGGATTGGCGTATTTTGAAGTCTGAATTTGCCCCGAGAAAGTAGGCATTCTTGAGTGATTTCAGAAAATAGTGGATTGTAAATGTAAAAGCAATACTGTTCCGGACGATAATGTAAATTGGCGTAAGGTGTGTTGCATATACTGCAAAGTGGTTATCACAAATATTCATATAATAATACCAGATTTAAGGGGGCTAGGGATAGAGGATAGGCAACACACAATGGTCACTGAAATTTGCAATAAAAGTCGAAACTTTTGAGTAATTTTTGAAGCGCAAATATTAATTCTAACTAGAGGTCTTATCGGAAATTGATAGAGATATAGAAAGTCATTAAATGTAGCGATTTATTTTTTTGATAAAATTATTCAAGTCGTGTATAAATGATAATCTTGAATTTACTAAGAACGCGAATACTGGCCTTAGTAAAAAAAATACTTAAAAAGTAAATCCGCACAATTTATTTAGTAACTAAGTGGATTAAAAAAATATATTACGAACTGTTTCAAATTATGAAATAAAACGTAATTTTTACTCAAAAGTTTATATAAAATATAGCGACGGAAGAAATGCAATACCTTCCATACAATGACGATAGGCAACTCAGGTAGCACTTTTACCTGGAAAATATTAACACCTAATGACCATTAGGTATACTTATATACAATGGTTTATGACCCTATTAGACCAGTAACAAAAGAATCTCAATGCCTTCCATTTATTCGTCTATTAGGACCAACGATAATAAAATAATAAAAAAATATTGTACGTCAATAAATGTACCTAATATTCAGGAATAACAACGTTTTAATTTTTTAGACCCGTTTCATACATTTTTTCATACATTTGATGTAGGTGTATTTGTTACCTACTTATCAAAAAGCAATTTAATAATTTCGATTAGGTACATAAAAATTATGTACAATTTGGACGATGTACCTACTATAGATAAACATAACGAATTGTTTGTTGCACCTTCTTGAATCTAGCAGCTCTGTTAAAAAACTGTTCATACAAAAATTGATAATCTTGTGTCTTACATACTTTAGGTGACAAATCTCAACGAAAATTTCAACCAGCAATTTTATCGACCAATGAAATGCGGATTTCGTGTCACATTTCCATGGCAACCACGGAATTTATCGTCAATTTTTTGACGTAAAAAGGTAATAATGTTTTGACATAAAATTCCCTTGACGAAAGACTCCTTTCAGGAATGTTCTCCAGCATAAGGACATCCCCGGAATTTTGACATAAAACGTCACTTTTTCGTTGAGAGTCACTATGGTGTGAAATTTTCTTACCGAATACCACAGTGCTTGAATAGAATTTTTTTCTTGCTCACGAATATTTTGCGAAAGTTCAAATATTTGTGAGCTCGCAAAGTTTCCGGAAATAGCAAGCACTAGTAGTATTACAAGTGATAATTTTTTATTTCAGCATGTCGTTAGTAAAAAATTGTCAAAGTCCTCGTGTGAGATCTTGTCGAAGCTACCACATTCCCTTCGTCGGTACTCGCGTCCGACGTCCCGTGCATCCCCAATTTGCGTTTGAAGTTTTACTCCATCAGTAAGATCTTGGCGGGGACCACCACATTCCCTTTCTCGGTACCCACTTCCGACGTCTCGCTCACCCGCAATTCGAGTTTGAAGTTTTTACTCCACCATCAGTTTTCAGATTGTTTTCAAAATGGCGCCATTGGAAAGATCTTGTAAACGGACACAAAAACTGCGTAGCGAAAATTTGTTTTTTTCCTGGGTACGAAATTAACCTCATTTTACAAGGCGTACGTCTGCGAGGGGTAGTTGACTTAGGGCGCCCAAAAGGTATCTTCCTCTGCGAATTTTGTTTCTGAAAGCTCGAATCGCGATCTCTCTTTCTCGTGTGGCTAATAGAGCTATGAGAAGTGCCCCAAAAATTGAGAACTATTTTGTAGAGAGTACACTGCCTTTTTTTGCCCCGAAAAAAAATTGTCTCAGATCGTCCCGGAAATAAATTTTTCTTATAGAACGTGGCCTGTAGAATTCATAATTTCAAACAGTTCCAAGATTGGGCTACTAATTCAAAAGTTACAGCCCTTTGAATTTTCTTTCGAAATTGGTTTCTAAGTCTATAACTTTTGATTGAGAAGTCTGATCGAAAAAGTACGAATTGTTTGGATTCTACGCACCAAAATTAAAAAGAAAAAGTGTTTTCCCGAGATTTAGCAAAATTCATCTAAATGCGAATGGTGGGTGAACGGAACGTCGGAAGCGGGTACCGACAAAGGGAATGTGTTAGCTTGCGATAAGATCTTTTTTATGGTGGCTAATACAATACTGATCGGCCACACAAAAATGCGCTGATCTCTCTTCGATCCCACACGAGGACTTTGATAATTTTTTAATCTACCTATGCTTTTGATAATTCCACTGAAGGTTTGACGGCTAGCCAAATAAACTATTTTCGTAAAGCATCAGGCGAATGTCGTGTTGGAATTGGAAAATTTCCGAAAATCTATTAAAACATTTTTTGTAATGAAAAATGAGTCATTTATTTTGTTGTAAATTAGATCAGAATTCAGATATATAATTTGATAAATGGGGGAAGGTTGAAAACGCAGCAAATACCGGGCTACATTGCGGAAGTCATGCGAAATATCGAAAACTGTTCATCTAACTGAAGAAAAGTACCATTCTTACATCCGCGGCACTTGTGAAAATCGTTATCATATAAATTTAGAAATCTATGGGGGCCGTAGTTTGATCGGATGTGATAATTGTTTAAATAAATTTGTGCTATGAACCACAAAAATTGAAGACCAGTTTTTCTTGTTTCGGAAATTGTTCCCTTCATTACCCA